ATCTGAACCATCTCATTACTGATGTTTCTCTTTTTAGTCTCAGGCTGCTGGGTGTGAAGTATACGGAGGATAAAAAGCGGCAAAAAGTGAAGAACACTATGGCTCACAGACACACATAGTTCAACTTTTAAAGATTTTTAACAAAATGGCAAATACATTTAAAATAAAGCTATGGCATCTTCATCAAATCTTCTTGAGTATGAATCAGAACACTGGGATTAAATGAAGACTGACAGGACAGATGGGAAGAGCTTGATGCTGGAGGATATCAACTAACTCCAGTTCATCCAGAGGGCTTAAATAGAAGCTAGTAATAAGATTTTTCCAGACACCATAAGTATAAACAAACTGGTAACGATGCCTACATATGCAACCTGAGATTTTCTATTTTTTCGAGACGGAAGCTCTCTGTGGATCCATGGATGTCTCCCCCTCTAAGACCTCCCCGTAACCACAATGACATCATGTGGCTTAGCTTAGCCTGAGTTCAGTCACAGTGGAAATGTCACTTGACAGATATAAAGCGCTTGCCAATCAGTTTGGTTTGGTTCACATGCCGCTAACATGTGAATGCTCCTAAAGTCGTGTCTACTACAAAATAAAAGCCTCCTGAAAGTCCAACTTTGCGTTAAGAACGTCAAAGACTCGAAAATCTTGCCTTTTTAGAAATACTCTGTAATTCTGAACGTGCACTCTGTTCTCCTGTTTAAAGGCTTGCAGCTGCGCTTCTATGACGATAATGACTGAATGTGGCAGCACTCTAACGGCACAAACTGACATTTTTCCCTTATTATCAGGATCTCACAGGTTTTCTTTCTACAGTTTTAGAATGTGCACAAGCGGATGTAGCCTTCAACTCCCAATCAGTCTAATCGGTCTATGCAATAATGCTTGTGATGTGTAAAACGATAGAGTTTCTCTCTAGTTTGGCTCTATACTGCTGTAGCTCGTGAGGAAAGGTAAAGTTTTAATAAAGAAAATGTTTTGTCTTGAGTTTATGTAGAGAGGAAATAACTGCCTGAAAACCAAGTTGTCCAGAAAACTGAAAATATATTTTTTGGCCACACTTTTCCAGTCTTAAAGTGAATTATGCTTTTTTTTTCCTTCTCTGGGTGAACAGATCCAGACTGCAATAATCAAGGTGAGCAAAGTGGGGAGTTTTATTGTGGCTACAGACTCTATTTAACACTTACATGGCACAGGAAACGGAACTGGTGGTATTTCCACCTGAAGCTGCGGTCGTAAGCGCCTGGTGAACCGCCCTGCCGTGACCTGCACGCGCACACACACAGAAAACAGAGAAAGTTGGTCAATTTTACAAGTTTCAACAGAACTCTAAAGGTCAGCTGACCAACAGAAACTTGGCGTCCTCTTTTGAGGAATACTTCATTTGCATCAGCTCTACAGCCCTCGAGTGTCTGAGTCGCAAAGACAGAGGTGAGCCTGGCCCCGCAGCTGTGTTAGTATAAGCTCCACCAACCCACTGTATGCGCACGCACACACACACACACACTGGATATCTGCCTTGTCAGCAGCACAGAGGCTGAGAAGCAGAAGTAGAGTTAGACAGATGATTTGGGGGGGAGTGAAGAAGAAGGAGGCCTCTAATGCGTCGGGTCTGTGCTTGCCGAGCTGCCAGGCACATCTCGGTTTGGGTTAGGAAATGGCGACCGCAGCAGCAGAGCGCCGGCCGTGGACGCACACTCCTGCAGGATCCAGTGTAAGAAAACAGTGAAGGAGGCCTCTGTGAAATAGCAGCCTAAAAATACGTGCAAATATCTGCATGAAAAGCAGCTCGCCGATGCACACACACACACGTCTTCAGCACTGACCACACAAGCAAATACACACTTGCATGCAGAAACACAGAAAAGCACAAACACCCACACAGATGCCAGCGCAGTCTGCAGTGGATGTGTTGTCGCACATCTGCACATTCGGGGATTTGAGACTGCTTCAAGGCAAAGCAAACACTCACAGGCTGAGGGGAAGAGCAGTGTGTGTGTGTGTGTGTGTGTGTTTTCTGAGATCATCTGTGACACTGATTCTCTCTGACTCAAAGAAATATTCAAAACAGGAGAGAAAGGAAAGGTAATGGATCAAAAGGAACAGCAAAGATGATGGGAGTTTAGAAAAAAAGATTCTTTTCAGGTTTTCACCAAACGAGCGGCTTGTGTGACTTAATATTTTCAATGCACTTATGTCAGGCCGAGGCAAAAATCACTTAAATGTTTTGGAGAAAGTGTCGAATGATCATTTAATTAGGAAGTCTTTGCCTCGGCCTGTGACAGCTTTGGGAGGAAAGGGCTGAGAGAATATTTACCCTGACTCAAACCCAGGTCGAGGGTCTTTAAAGGTGGTGGTGCGCGAGTTGTGGTCCACGAAATATCGGACTCCCTCGGCGGTGTACTTCATCTCCCAGCCCGGGGGCAGGGGGTGCTCCTTGATCATCCTGCAACAGGGGAGAGGGCAGTGAGCGCGGTCCCGGCTCGAGGGGCCCCGTCTCGGGGGATGAAACTGACATACCTTCCCCTGCCAACTCGTGCTAAAACCAGAAAGCCTGCGCCGGTGTGCCACAGTGGAGTTTACCTCCTATGAGCATGGCAATGGTAGGTTTGATTATTCAGGTGGCTTCAAACCACAAGAACGCTTAGAGGACACAGAAGCAGCATGTTTGGCTTGAAGGTGAAAAGCAGTTTTCTTTCCCTGATGCTTTAGACCATAGGTGTCAAACTCTGGCCCGCGGACCAAATTTGGCC